TGGTTGAACGATGCTTCTCAGCCGCCGACGCGTATTAGATGATAATTGTGGCGATTATTCCGTAAGCGTGAAAGTTTATAACGATAATATATCGTTATCTGTCACGAGCCGTTATCTGTTTCTTGCCGTATAAAACATATATAAAATTGGCTCTTCCGCACGCGACGTAACTTTCATCGATTTTCTATATTTTTGTTTATCTTATATATCGAAAGTAATTTTAGTTTGTGTACTTGTGCTATGTTTTCCTACGAGAGTGAGGATGAAAGAATGACTATGAAAATGAAAAGGCGAGAAGTCCGTGCAGAATTGCGAGAGCACGTGGAGCAACGCTCGACTGAGGACACGGATTTTGTTGATCCTCGTGGCGACAAATATTTTCGATTCGTTCGTACGAAAAAAGGACCCGTCGATTCGCGACTCGGATGCAACAAAGCGTGGGAGCTTCAAAGACGTGCGAAGCGCCTCCGCGGAATAAGAGGATAATGTGGACTCGATTTGACGTCTTTGAATATTTAATATCGCCCGCGCGTCGTTTCATCACTCGCGTCTTACAACGGTTCAGACCATTGAAGTGGAACTAACGAAGGATTATGCCTTCCATAATGTAATGTCGCGTGATTGATCGTTTTTTAACAAAGGTATTTTCTACGATCTGTGAGGCAACGAAATAATCATTTTCTCGATTTTACCCTAATTATCTTTTCTCTTACGTTACAATATTGGACCGTATATGACAGTATCTTTATAAAATTGTTACTTTGAGACGAGCCGGAATGTCGCAATCCCGACGTCGTAAGCGAACAGACATTTGTCAGGAAATTCACGCGATTTTATAGAATTTTTCATGGAACGCATCAGACGCATTTCGCAGTTTCTTCGGCGCATCTAGCGGAACAGTTTTTACCTTCGAGCTCGAAGACAGACACGATTTTCGTAGACACATGCGCGCCTGCTCGTGTCGTGCGCACCAACGCTCTATATTTCAAACGTTGAATGCGGACGTTACCGACGAGACACACAATTTACGGTTTTTTCGCCGATTTCCTCGCTCTCGCCGTTTTCTTACGCATTCTTCCGAAAAAACGACGCCTCGGATAAAATCGCAGCGAAGTGTAAGGGCAGTTACAAGAAGCGGTGCGACGACGGAAAAAGACGACCGAGTAACCTCATGCAATTTTAAACTATTTCAATGAAATGGGATAGAGCGGCTTGTAGATTTGTTGGTCGTGGGACCGGCCCTCACAAGTAAAATGAGAAGAAAGAAAGAGAGAGAGAGAGAGAGAGAGAGAGAGAGAGAGAGAGAAGA